CTTAAAGTCTATTGAGAGTTACACTGACATAGATAAAATGGCTTCCTTTTAGTTACTCTTTGCAAGATAACTTTTTAAATTTTTTCACCTTTAAGTGATCGTTTGTTAACAACATATATGTACATGTCCTAAATCATTTTGATAAGTTGTCACTTAACTGGTGTTAAATATATGCTGCTATAAACTATCAGCTATATTCAATTTATCACACTTCTATAATCTCCTGTTTGTCTTGCTTTTTTAACTTATACCTCTATCTCACCTTCTAAGACAAATTCATTAGTAAATTGTCATATTCTTTTTCCTTCCTCTCTCCACTATATTAGTATACTCTCTATTTCTCTTCTCTTCGATCATGGTTTTCTTTTTAAGTCATAGGTTCACATAAACAAGTTCATTTTTCCCACTTAAATCTTTTGGTCTGCATTATTTATTAATTTTATTTATTCTTTTCTTGTTGAATATTACTTCCAATAGATGTGTTCATGTAAGTCTTTGTCTTGCAAAAATACTGAGGTCTTCAGTATCAGAGAAGAGTTACTGAGGCTCTTCTGTTTGAATGTCATTTTGTCTAGATTAAAATTCTGATTTCAAAATTACTTTCTCCTCAAAACCAGTGGAGAACACCTTTTCCATACCTAAGGAATTAGACATTTTTTGAAATTCACAATTTGGAGGATTCAGAGGGGCTATTAATGCATATATTCTAAATACTGTATTACTAGAAATTCCACTGAGATCTGATTCATTATTACAAAATCAAAAGCATAATATTTCATAACAAAACATATGGGCACTCACATTTAAGTGGAATACATAAAGATTATATTAATACATAGCTTCCTGTCATATCACATTTGCTTTTATTTTGCAAATAAATTGTTTTTATATTCACAATAAAAATCAAAACTTTTTATTTTTAAATTTTTTTGGTTTTGCTATAGATAAGGGATTTTGGAAAAGAATTATATAAATATTACTCTCTTGTCTTGCTGTAGACAGTTTTATTTGTGAGAAGCAGTTTCAATCCAATTCTTGAATCTTTGTAGGTGATCTATTCTTCATTTCTGGAGGCTTCCAGAGTAGTCATTTTATATCTAATATTCTTCGATATCACTATAATATGTCTTGTCTCTTCATTCTATGAGCCTTTTCAATTTGAAGATGCTCATGTTCTCTCATACAAAAGATATGCAAAAACATGGTTCTTAAACTAAAAGTATTCATTAATTTAAAAAGAAAATTGGAATCCATACCATGCACTGAGTATTGTCAAGGAAGTGCACAAAGTGCTAAGTACGTCCATATGGGCTCTTCACTCAAGTAGGTATAAGCAGTCATTTAAACTATCTATATAGGAGTGTAACATTGTATGTCATTTTTCTCTTGTATGCTCACCCATGTCTTTAGACATGACAAATGAACGTGGAAAATTGTTCTATTTAATAGATTAGAGGACTTCGATGAATATCAGTTTAAAATCATTAAGTTCTTACTCGCCAAAAAGTTAAAGCTGACTGAAAGAATGCAGGAAGAATATGACAAAGTAAAGATTGCTGATTTGATGGTAAACAAGTTCAAACGTGACGCCAGTGTGGACAAACTTATACAACTCTGCAAAAGTATACCAGCACTTCAACACATTGCAGAAACTCTTACAAAGGAAAAGTCAAAAAGTAATGGAGAACAGGGAACATTCCCTCCCTGCCACTGTCCCCAACCCTTCCCAACCTTGACTAGAACCTCCCCTTGGACATAGTTGATACATCCCTGTTGCAAGTTGTTACTGAGTGGCCTTGACAGTGTTGGTACTTCAGATGCCAACAAGTTAACAACTTAGAGCATTCCATTTCTAATGCATATTGCTGTATTTTACAGGGTATATTTAGTATGCAGTGAAAGAAAGGAAGTGAGAAGGAGTTGAGAGATTGAGATGTCTAGTACATTAGAAAGATTAGATAATGACAAAAAAATTTTATATTTGTAGTTTAAATTTGAAATATATACATTCAACCAATTGTTGTATGTGTCCTATTGAGACTATTTAACATATCATTATCCCTTATAATATAAAAAGAGATAGTAGTTAAGTGTAAGCCTACCTCTAAGAAGTGTG